GTGGGTTTACTGGGCCCGAAGTAATTGGCGCAAGCGGTGTCCCTGCCGGTCGGCGAAGCTTAATAAATTCTAACTAGAGCAATGAATTATAATCCAAGAGTTGGTTATTCGGTCATTTATTCGCTACTCTGAGTTTCATGCTTCATGTGAAGCAATCATCAGGCAGCTGATGATTGCTTCGCATGAAGCATGAAACTCAGAGTAGCGAATAAATGACCGAATAACCAACTCTTGGATTATAATTCATTGCTCTAGTTAGAATTTATTAAGCTTCGCCGACCGGCAGGGACACCGCTTGCGCCAATTACTTCGGGCCCAGTAAACCCACTCATCCCACCCCAGGGGAGGAAATCCATCGCACAGTAATCTCGTGCGTGGGAAATTAACGTCTCCTTCCCCTAAACCTACAGGAGACGGGATTATTCGTCCATATCCGAGAAGACTAGAATATCTAACCATTTCTTGATGTTTTAGAAAGGTAGCAAATTCTTCTCAATTATTTTAAGACCTTGAGTGTTGGTAGCAAATTCTTCTCAATTATTTTAAGACCTTGAGTGTTGGTCCGGCCGGGGCTCGAACCCTCGACCTCCCGCTCAACAGTCCAGCGCTCTATCCACTGAGCTAACCGTGAGGCGTCATCCCATTCCTAGAGCACTCTCGCATGGCAACATGCCTGCACTTGGTCCCACAAGTGTAGCGCCCAGGCAATGGTTTATTCCAGAGCTTGGCCCAGTGTCTGCACTGCACTGATGAGACCCACATAGGTCGAAACAGTGTGCACTGTCTGCAGTTAGATAGCTCTCGCTTGGCTTTGCCTTTTGGCTACCTTGCGATTGAGCACTCTACACTGGGGTTGCCATGCACTTAGCCTTCGGGCGAAGCTCATCACCTTAGTTGTGATTTGAGCACTCTCGCATGGCAACATGCCTGCACTTGGTCCCACAAGTGTAGCGCCCAGGCAATGGTTTATTCCAGAGCTTGGCCCAGTGTCTGCACTGCACTGATGAGACCCACATAGGTCGAAACAGTGTGCGCTGTCTGCAGGTATATATATATATTACGTTGTTACGTCACAAAGCCCATAAAAATTGCTAGCAGCCCAAAACGCTCCAAAAAGGTATTCTTTGTCTTTTTGGAGGAATAGTTTTGAATGAATACGGTCATAGCATTAGCTGGCACCTTTGGGATTTTCGAGATTACTGTTCTCAAATCACTGTTATAATGATTGAATTATTCCTCCGGAAGAATACCATGAGTTCTTGTTCCAGTGTGCTCAGAGAAATGATACTAACAGCTCAAGTGTCGTATTTGAATGGCAAAATTGTGCAATTTCCGTCCTATGTACTTTCGACCCTATTTGAAACTCCTTGCAAATGATATCAGACTTTTCTCACCGTCAAAACTTGCCCTTCGCTTTTGCCTGCGGTTTTGCCTCTTACAGTAGAATATTTTTGTATCACTTTTAGTAACAAGTAAATTGTGTTCAACTTGGGACGTGAAAAGTGACTTTGAATAAATGGTTGTCATGACAACATGTTGTAGGTGGCCTTAGTGAAGGCAGAATGTCTTGCCTTCTATATCCAAGTCAATATGTGTTCCTTAGATCGAAAAAAAAAAAAAAAACTCTTAATGTTGCAGTGATTGGAAAAAATAATTAAAGGCCTTTTCGAAGCTAAATTATGAATTCAAGTGAGTGATTCTGATCACAAAGTTTAGCAGTTAATTCACCAAAAATACAGCCTATTAAACATAATTCAGCTTAGCCCACGAAAATAGGAAATCTATTCTACTTTGTGAACTGAATTGAATGGCTAGTTAACTGCGATTGGAAGTACATCATTAAAATAAGGACTAGAGGCGCAAGATTTCGTATAGTGCAAAGATTTATCCATCAAATAAATCAATTCATGCTTTACACATAAAATGTAAATTCATTGTGAGAATTTCACGGGTTTGAGGAACTCAGTGAAAGTGAAGGTTGAAAATTTGTGAGTATTTTTTAAAACTCAACACTATTGAGTAAATCATTATAATATTATATACCGAAATACGTGTAAAAATAGCGAAGTAAAGACTAAGTATTTTTAACTTGCCATCTACGTCTTACAAAACGTACTGAAAATGTGTATGTGAATTCTTTTTGTTTTTCAACATGACGTTACTAAGTTATGACAATCCATAACATGAACATGATATCCTACCATCTATATGCGAATTGTTCTCGACTAACAACTCTTGACATCACATCTAATTCACCGTGCAACTCCATAAAATGTGACAAATCTATGCTCTACAAAATGTTGGACTTCACTGAAAATTTTACCCGGCAACTGCAAAGTCCTTAACATATTAAAAATGTCCACAATGGGAATTCTAATTAAAAGCAATTAGCTATGGAACTGCTGAGTAGAAAAACAAGTACCCTGTCCATAAAATCTGACAAATTCTTCCTAATATATATTACCTTCAAAAACGGTGATTTATAATTCAAGAACATCCAATGACGACCTACGCAAAACAAAGATTTGAACACACACTGACAAATTTTTCCTGATACCGTCATATATATCGCGAAATTATGAATAATTCCAAACCCGTTCAATTCCTGGGCAAGGACAGCCTTAGCTTAATTTAAATAAGTCGAAAACTGAAGTTATCAATGTTTTTGCTTATGATATTCCCCGTGGTGTTTTATATTTGACAAAAGAAATTTCAAATTTGAATCACTACAAGGGTTTTGTTTTTTTTAATGAGTCTTAACACGGTTCTCTGATCGACAAATACGGTAACTTTGCACATTTGAAATTGAAAGAGAACAATCATGTTTTCTTGGTATTTTCTAAGGTAAGTGTAATGATTAGAAATCCTTTAAACAGGGTCAAATCTAGCAAGTTTTTCTAATCGCAGTAAATGGAAGGAAAATTATTTCGCTACAAACATCAAAGAAAAAAACTTGTCAACAATGTTGTCAAGCAGGACTTCCAGAAGCGGAATTCTACCTCGAATCTTTTATCAGTTCCTTAATTCGTGAACTTTTTATGTCTGCTATCTAAGGAAATTAATTTTGCACTTGGCAAGTTTTTCCTTTGACAGGTGTCTGTATTGAACGAAAAAAAGGAAAAAAACCGAGGAAGAAAATTATCAATATTTGGACCAGCAGACCTGCCAAGGAAAACCTTGTTGTGGGGTTTTCATCCATCAAAGAACGTGGTAAATTTCGAGGAAAAGGCAATTTTTTTTTTAAATTAAGGTAGAACGTGCTACTCGTATAGCTTTAACAAAAGCGATCATATTTACCACGTTAATCCAGCGACGTTTCTGTGAATAAAGCCTGTGGAAAGAATGGCTGCTAAATATTATATAAAGCATATGTACTTAGTAAAGATCTGACGTATATCCCAGTCGTTTCCGATATAATAAATTGAACACGTAAGTAATCGAATTATGTAAATATCTTAATTCACTTGTTATGAAAGACAATCAATTAGCAATGCGGCAAAAAAGAGTCATGCAGTGGAGCTTTTTGTGGTGTTTGCATGACATCATCCGCCTCGAAATTGGTTTGACAAGGGACATTTTATTGTATCTTATCTTCTGTCATCGATTTGAGTAAAGGTTGAATTTACTCTACACCAGGCATGCTCTTGCACAAGGAAACTTTCATTTCAAGGGAAAATCTGTAAAAAATAAATCTGCTAATACAAGTTTAAGCTCCATTTACGAAAAACCCCTTCCGTCCAAGAAAACGCTTACGCTTTAATTATTTTTTCTTACTACATAAACAAAAACGACCCAAAACGCGGATGAAAGTCCGTTTTGAAAACGTTTTATTTTAAAAAGCTCCGTTTCATGTGTCGACAAGTGAAAAATGAGGCTTTTGAAAACATTGACGTATTATGCGTCAAATACTATCGCTTTCATCTAGGCTTTCTGGTATTTTAGCGTAGACGATGGACGAGAACGTATCAAAACGAATGCGTTTTCAAACAAAAATGCATTGATGCAGAAATTTAAAAGTTAGCGAGACTGAAATGTTTTCGTGGGTGAAAATACTTTGCTTTATTTTATTTGAGACGAAAACGGACACTTTTGAAAACGCATTAGTGTGGTGAAGGCCTTAGATGAGATGATGGGAACAGTTGTCAATGAATTAAATTCTAAAAAGCTTAGGCCAATCTAGCTCTACGTATTTTTTGACAGGTGATGACAAGTGTGTATAACGAAATTTTTCCGAGACAAGTGCGTGGGTAGTTTTCAAAAGAAAACTCGATAGTGTAAACATATAATATTGACCACACTTGACCACGGTAAAGTAGTTCGTTCCTAATTCAGGAACAGTCATTATTTCTCGCCGAAGGACGGGGGGAGGGGAGAGAGAAAGAAGAGGATTTTGTGGGGATTAGAGTGGGGTCAGGCGTCACCAACAGAGCATAATGGGAGACTTAATAAAACTGACTGCTCGTGACTGTCAGTGAGAGGGGAGGGGGGGTATGAGAATATGTTGCAGAGCCTTAGGCGGGGATCATCAGGTAAATGTTATCGTGACACAACCAAAAGCCTCCAGACCCCCACCC